CACAGTACTTGTTCAACTAACTGGATTCTCTCACTATCTCAGTAATTTTACAGCTTGGGGGGGAAAAAAATCAAAAGGATGCATATCACCTAAAATATAAGCAAAATCAGCTACCAAATCATCCAACATCAAATATTACAATGTTTTTCCACAGGTACAAGATTAAACTGTTTTCTTCCACAAAAAATTATCGGGTCCCTAAAAAAATGGAAGAAATAATTTCTTAATATTTGTTACAACTCCAACTACAAAAAGCTTCTTAAAATCCACCACAAAGGTGTTATACTAGGAGCCAACCTCATCTTCCGTAAATCAAAATGAATTAAGATATTTTATACTGACTGGTCATAAATACGGCAACTTTTCCTTCACTGAATGCTCTGCCCTTCTTTAGCTACTTCATTGGGTTTTTTCATAATTGCCATTCTGAGACAGCAAGGGAAAATAAATATGTTGCAAAAGGAATGCTTCAGAAAAAAAGGATGGGGACAGGCAAACACATAAAAAATGAAATATAAGACCTCTACAGGGAGAACTATGAAACACTGAGGAAGGAAATTGCAGAGGACGTAAACAAACGGAAAAACGTATCATGCTCATGGATTGGCATAATCAACATTGTTAAAATGTGTGTACTACCCAAAGTGATTTACAGATTCAATGCCATCCCATTAAAATACCAAAATCATTTTTTGCAGATTTAGAAAAAATAATTCTGCACTTCATATGGCACCAGAAAAGACCCCAAACAGACAAAGCAACCCTAAGCAAAAAGAACAAATTAGGAGGCATCACTTTACCAGATTTCAAACTATACTACAAGGATATAGTAACCAAAAAACAGCATGGTACTGGCACAAGGACAGAGACATAGACCAATGGATTGGAACAGAGAACCCAGATATAAAACCATCCTCATATTGCCATCTGATCTTTGACAAAGCAGACAAAAACATACACTGGAGAAAAGAATCCTTATTCAATAAATGATGCTGGTAAAATTGGATAGCCACATGTAGAAGACTGAAACAGGATCTGCATCTCTAATTACCCACAAAAATTAATTCACGATGGATAACAGACTTAAACCTAAAGCATGAAACTGTAAGAATTCTAGAAGAGGTCGGAAAAACTCTTATAGACATCAACCTAAGCAAAGAATTTATGAAGACGACCCCAAAGGCAATCACACCAACACAAATAAATACATAGAACCTGATTAAACAAAAAAGCTTCTGCATAGCCAAGAAAACAATCAACAGAGCAGACAGACAACCTATGGAATGGGAGAAAATATCTGCATGCTATACATCTGATAAAGGGCTAATAACCAGAATCTACAAAGAACTCAAGTGAATCAGCAAGAAAACATCAAACCACCCATTAAAAAGTGGGCAAAAGACATGAACAGAGGCTTTTCAAAAGAAGATAGACTAATGGCCAATAAATACACGAAAAAAATGCTCAACGTATCTAATCATCAGGGAAATGCAAAACCAAACCACAATGAGATTATCACCTAACTCCATGAGAATGGCTTTTACCAAAAAGTCCCAAAACAACAAATGTTGGTGTGAATGTGGAGAGAAAGAACACTTACACACTGTTGGTGGGACTGCAAACTACTTCAATCCCTATCGACAGCAGTATGGAGATACCTCAAAGAACAGTAGACCTACCAGATCCAGCAATCCCACTACTGGTTATTTACCCAAAGGAAGAAAAGACATTTTATAAAAAAGACACTTGCACTCGAATTTTACAACAGCACAGTTCACAACTGCAAAGATGTGGAAACAACCCAAGTGCCCATCAGTACATGAGTGGATTAATAAAATGTGGTATATGTATACCATGGAGCCATTTTTTAAAAAGCAGTGAACTAATACCCTTTGTAACAACCTGGATGGAACTGGAGAACATCCTAAGTGAAGTATCACAAGAATGGAAAAACAAACACCACATGTACTCACTATTAAATTGGAACTAAATGATCACCATTCATGTATACATATACTAGTATAATTCAATGGAAATGAAGCAGGTGGGAGGGGGAGGAGGGGATAAGTTAATTCACACCTAAAGGGTACAATGCACACTATCTGGGTGATGGACACATTTATAACTTTGACTCAAACTGTACAGAAGTAATTCATGTAACCAAAATGTTTGTACCCCCATAAATTTCTGAAATTAAAAAAAAATACATAAAAAGCATTTAGCAGTAGCAGCTTTGTAAACTCACTTGTCCACTGGGATTGGGTAGCTATTTAAGGCGAGACTAACAGAGTGGACATTAACATAGTAGATCCAATACTCTGAAAATAGCACAATATCAGACCTAGAACCTAGGATTTAGGCATAGGTGTCTCAAACACTGAAGAAACTATCTTTGGACCATTGATCTGTATGGGGACGATTTAAAGTTACACTAATTTAGCTAAAGTGCTCTCAAACAAGCTATAGCTAAATTCTGAGTCCCTCAAGCAGAATCTTTTTAAGTTAGTCCTCTTTACTATCCTTCCACAGTGAAAATTAAAGCTTCACCTGGCTACAGAATGGACACATGAGCATTTTAATATATCTATTTATGAAAACAGCTAATAAAGAGTACTGAAAGTTGGCTGATGTAGTCACTCTTCTTATCCAATTAATTATATAACTGATCTTCGGTTAAGGCTTTAGCTGTTTTTAATATATGGGTTCTCAATGAGTTGATAAATGACTATGTAAAATATATTTAGGGATTCACAAAACACTGCCATTTAACAAAGCATTCCCATTAGTTAAAACTACCACTAGCCTTCTTCCTATTAAACAGGAAAGTTGTTACGTGAAAATTTTCTTTCGTTTTAGGGTAACTTATGGGTAATAATACACTCTTTTACTAATATTATGTAAGGACAACACCAGGTTATCTCTTAGCTCTTCAGCAGATTCTAGAAGGAACACCAAAGACCCATCTGAAGTTTTAAAGAAAAGTTTCATCATAATCTGAGAATTGCTCCATCAGAAAATATGACAATGCCAAAAATACTTCCACTTTGAGCTATCAAATCTATTATGTTACTTGTCATTCCCTACCAACTGAACAAAATCTTTCACAAGTATACATCTTTAGAAAGTCTATCCTTTCTCTACTTCCCACTACACACACACACACACACACACACACACGCGCGCGCGCGCACACACACGCACACACACACACACGCACACACACACACACAGCCCCAATATTGCGTATAACTTTCTCATATTCCAATTTCCCAATTCTGTTCTCTCTACTCAACTAAGCCACACTAGAGTGGTTTACCAAATTAACTTTAATGCAAAGTGAATCAAATGTCAGAATGATATTTCTATTAAAGATGAGTAAAATCTGCCCTTTATTATCCTCAAGTCCTTGACATTATGTGCATTTTAAAGTAGTATAAAACAATGAGCTACAATTTTGTAGATGTAATTATTCTGTGATTAATGTGATATCACTAAACTAACAATGAAAATTAGGGGTAAAGCCAAAAACATGCCTCATAAAGACAAGCTGACTTAAGTATTTTAAAGTTTAACTACTACTGATACTGAATAAATAGGTTCTAATAAAATGAGATATACATCGAAGAACTAGAAAAAACTGACGCAAACTTGAAGAATGAACAGATATTTTGATCATAGAATTTTACTTGTAGTTGTCATATAATTTTATTTTAAGAAACTTTATCTCTGATACACACTGAAATATTTACATATGAAATGATATCTAGGATTTGTTTCAAAATAATTTGAGACAGGGAAAAGGCTGGGATATGGAAAAACAAGATTGACATAGTTTAAGGTGAGTGATAAATACATACGGAGTTTATTATAATATTCGACTTCTGCATACACTTGAACATTCCTACAAAATACATAGTTTAAGAAAAAAAAAAATCAAACGTCACGTAAGACTCTCGTTTCATTTATACCATTAACACTGTATATATCTCTGCCATCAAAGACTCACGTCACTGCCCACGTAACATTCTGTCCCCAAATGTCTTTAAAAAATAAAGAAATCTCTGGGAGAAGACTGCATTGTGATAAAGAAATCATTTTATTTTTTAAAGAGATGGGGTCTCACTATGTTGTCCAAGCTAGAGTGCAGTGGCTATTCAAAGGCACAATCATAGCACAATGTAGCCTCAAACTCGTGGCCTTAAGATCCTACTACCTCAGCTTCCCAAGTAGTCGGGAACACAGGCACTTGCCACAGCCCCAACTCAAAGAAATTATTTCCAAAACTGACTTGCATGTCACATAAACACAGATAAGCAGAAGAAACAAGAGGGAAATGAGATTTTCAAAAGAGTGAACATCAGGCAGCAAATATCACTATTTATGCAAAATGCAAGTGTAAGATGAAGATAAAAAAAATTAGGAAAAGTTAAAACATTAGAAAGAAGCTCAATATGGTTGTCAATCATGTGCACCACAGCTATAAAGAGGAACAAGGACCTTGAGGAGGCTCCAAGAGTATATTACAGAACAAAAGATTCCTCCTGAAGCTCATAACATATGCATGGTAAACAGCTGCACAATTAACATTAAAAGTACCCTCTCCCCCAAATAAATAATACCCCATCCTATACATCATTCTTTTAAAAGCAGCTTTTACTAAGATACATCACTTTACTTTTCTATCACATTTAAATGATATAGCAAAGAGCATACACTAAAGACACATTTTACAGTATCAGTAACATTTCACCTATGATGCAGAACCAAATAACTAAAATCTGACCCTTGAATTTCAATTTTTACTGGATAGCTACATATATTACTACCAGGAAAAAGAATCTATATTAAAAAGACATCTGGCAAGTCTAAGAAAGTCTACTTTGGACAATTTTAATCTAAATATGGATGACTTGCTCCTGCACTAGTAAAGTTCCCTATCTAGTGGTATAAAATTACAAGCAGGGAAAGAAAAGCATCCATTTTTAAAGATATAGTACTTACTTAAGGATGGTTTTTGCACTACTGCAGTCCTCAAATCGAATGGAGTAACCAACTTCCTGGCCCAACATCACATCCATTTCATCAGCAACTCTCTGAGCCACACTCATTGCAGCCACTCTCCTGGGTTGGGTACAGGCAACTCCTCTCTTGGGTCCTGGTAATGATCGCATATACTCCACACACCACTGTGGAATCTATCAAATAATTTCACATTTAAATTAATTCTACTCTGCCTGCATATCAAGTATATTTAAAATAAAGCACTTTATCTCATTCCAATAATTTAAAACAAAATTCAATCAGGCATATGACAAAAAGAATTATTTATGACTCAGACTTATAACACAAACTCTCTTAATCCAAGGAAGGGTCATGTATAATATTGATAAGACACAATTATAATCTGGAATAGGGTAGGTCCAATCAGGCTTTGCTGGATATGCTCAACAGTGTAACTGTCCCATCATTAGATAATTCTCTGTGCAATGAAAAAAAATCCAATTTACAACAAATTCTACTTTATAATATTACACCAATGTTAGCTTCCAAAAATATTCTAAGTCAGTCTAACTTTTAAATTCCCATACAATTTGTTACAAAATGCAGGTAAAAGTAGAAATCATATCTCCTTGCAGCTATAAAGCTGTGTTTTTAATTCAATTGAAATTTAGTTTATAAACCAGCATAAATTAATTCCTAGCACTAACTCTTTGGTGCTCCTATATCCTTCTCCCCACAAGAGCAGTATGTACAATGGCAATACCTCAGGTACCATCTGAAAAGCCAATTTAAGGAACTGCCAGTCTCAAAAATCAACATGACCTAGAGCAGCAAGCACTTGCCCAAATAAGAAGGGCAGCCAAGGGGGAAGGCAGGAAAAAAATTCCAAGCACAAGTTGGTTGCCATGATGACAGTTTATTTCCTCCCTGTTTCATCATCTACAGAAACTAACAGATCCTCTAATTTTTTGGTTCTTCCCTAGTCATTTAACTGGAAAAGAACCATGGGGAAAATCCAAGTGCTAACCACATAAAACAATCCACTGCTAGGAGGAGGACACGACTGGTCTCCATCAAAGATTCCAAAAGCCTATTAGATTCTAATGCTACAGGAAACATGGGGGTTTTCTGGTACAGTGACACTTGATGAAGAATACTGGTTGTTGCACTATTATTACATTTTAGTTAGGTTGCTTTCACAATTTTGGGGTAACTGTCAACACTGACAAGTATCTGAAGGGGGGATGATTATGCTGCTTCTCTAAGAACAATACATATTTTTAAAGGGTTTTAAATGAACGAAAATACTAAACTAAAATAGCAGTGCCTCCCTAGTTGTATAAACCCATAGACCAAGGTTTAAGTGGTTTTCCGGAAAGGGTCTGCATACATCTCTCTCTATATATATATATTTAAACCTCCTTATTTCGGCAACCCTCTTACCAAGGCAAAATGGACTTTTAAAAGACCTATCACAATGAAATTCAAAAAACATTCACTGGCAAATTAAAGATATTTAAAATGAATTCGGAATTCTCAAGGCAAGAAGGTTCACAGATTTTTGAATGCACTCCATTGAAATGGATAGCTTACCCCCAATTTAAAAACAAGACAGTTTTGGTTAATTTAGCAGTTCTCAAACTTTTGATCTCAGGACCCCTTTATACTCAAAATAACTGAGGATGCCAAACAACTAAGAGATTTACTGTATTAGGGAATTAAAACTGAAAAACTGCTAAACTATTTACTAATTCCTAACAATAAAAGCCCAATCTACGTTAACACAATAACACTTTCTATGAAAAATAGCTACATTTTTTAAAAATAAGGACCACTGCAACAGGGTCTTGCAGTGGGGAAGAGAGTAGACTCAACTCCCTAAAATAACTGTATTTTTCAAACCAGAAAAAAATTTAGGCCAGGCACAGTGGCTCATGCCTGTAATCCTAGTACTTTGGGAGGCTATGGCGGGAGGACTGCTTGAGACCAGGGGTTCGCAACCAGCCTGAGCAACACAGCGAGACTCTGCCTCTACAAAAATTAGTCAGGCACAGTAGCATGTACCTGTACCTGTAGTCCCAGCTACTTGAGAGGCTGAGACAGGAAGATCACTTGAGCCCAGGAGTTCAAGACTGCAGTGAGCTATGATGACACCACTGCATTCTAGACCAGGCAACAGAACAAGACGCTATTTCAAAAAACAAGTTCAGTTAAATGAGTGTACTGTCTTACATTTTTACAAATCTCTAACGTCTAGCTTAAAAGAAGACAGCTGGATTCTCTCATCTGCTAATTCAATATGTTGGTAATATTTTGTTTTGTTTGAAGTATACAAAGAAAATCCTAGGACTCCTGAAAGGGTTTCAGGGATTTTTAAGAGTGCCCACGCAGTATTTGGAGAACCACTCAGTTAATGCATCCATCCACATTTCAAAGGAAAGTAGCATTAGGAAAGAAAATAGGTCCTGAAATATATAGGCTACTGGCTTGTTCAAGAGAGGGATCAGTTGTTCCAAAGCTATTCCTTCTTTTCAGCTTCTTCCCTTTCCCCACTTGAGGTCATTTTTTTAAAAACTGATACTCTACCCTTTAATCTTCTTTGTTTATACATTATCCTGAGTGGTCTTACGTGTTCTCCTAACTTCTAATACTACCTACAACACACCAATGTCAATCCTAACTCTAGCTCCCATCCCCAACCTAATCATCATTTCCACATGAAGGACAACTATTTCATTAGTATCTCAAATTCAACATGCTCAAAAGCAAAACCACTTCTCACCTTCCTCCAAATACTTATAATTCCTCACATATGCCCTACTCAGTAACAGTTAACATCCTGACTCTAATACATCCTTTAATTTCCATTTCTACTGCCCTTCAAAGAATCAAAACTTTTATTATGACCTCTTACATGGTCTGTCATCAACATGCTCACTAGACAGGACATTTCTGTACAAATCCTTTGTCACTCCCCTCCAATTTAAAAGCTCTGATGGCTTCCTAATCTATAGCAAGATATATTAAGGCCTAACCTATAGTTCCAGTCTCACCAGCCCTACCTCCCACTCCATACACCCTCTATACTCTGGCCAGGGCATACAATGCTTTCCCTTCTCTTAAACAGGTGCCCTTGCTCATGCTGTGCCTTTGGCTGAGCTAGCTTCACTTTCTTACACGTGCATACAGTATACGCATACTAAGTAGCAATATGAAATGTCTTTACTGGGGGTCTGCCACAAGTTAGAATCATTACTTTAGATTTTGTCTGGAGGACTTCATTTTCTGATAGGCACAAAGAAACAACCAAAAAAATGGCTGACTACTCTCAAAGTTTAATAAGAGTATGCCAAAAAGCCTTTGAATGAAATTCACATTTTAAACTGGTTTCCCTTCAAATCCCCCAAATGCCCTGCAATCCTAAGTACCCAAGTACCTTATGTACCCCCCCAAAATCCAGATAATCACAAACCTCTTGTTTCGAGTTGACTTGATCTTTTTCTACACTGTTAATAAACTCATCTCTGAAATAAGGTGGACCATATAAGACCAGAGAATAGCAGTATGAAATAAATGTAACTTTAGCTACAGGACAAAGTTTTAAAATGTTGAGCCCACCTAAATTCATAAACTATGTAACTGAGGGCAACCCATTAAAGTTAAGTTTCTCATCAATATAAGTCTCATTTTGCTCATCTGTAAAATGGGGATGAATACCTTCCTTGCAGGGCTATACAATAACTCAAAAAATACACGTACACAGTGTCTGTCTTTACCCAAGTGCCAATTAAATGGCTGCTGTTAATACTATGCAAACTGGTAAAACATTCCAAATAACTATTAAAAATACTATGACAGTAATAAGTTCAGTTACAGCCTTTCACGTATTTTTTTAAAAATTCTTTAAATTTCAGTAAGGTGATTTAAAAACCCTACTGGCTTCATTTCCTAACAGCAACACTTAAGTTTCCCTCATTAAAAAAGAAAAATCACACTAAGGCCCAGTCTTTAATAAAAAGCTTCCTATTTTGGTTGCTACAGTAGCCTTCAAAATGTCTCCATAAAATACACAAACTGATCTGTGGCACATGTAACATAAATTTATATGCAGTATACTTAATTATAAACATGTATCATAGGTTCATGAATATGAAAAACAGGCCACTAGGATAACACAACATATTAACAATCATCTCTGCATGGTAAGAAAGCTCATCATCAAATTCATTTAAAAACTTTCCTGAATTTTCTACAATGGCCAGAACTGCTACTTTTGTAACCAAAAGGATTTTTTAACTGATGATTCAGCATCAAGAAAACGAAAACATGGTTAACCTCTCACTCATGGCAAGAAAATGCAAATTAAAAAGCACATCAAAATATCACTTTTCACCTGTTGGATTTATAAAAATTCAAGTTCAGTAGTATGTTCTAATAGTTTCCCACATGTGCTCTCATATATACTCATGGAATAGTAAAGGGTAAACTGATATGCTCCCTAAGGAAGGCTACTTGGCTGTATATATCACAATTACAACTTATCTTCTAACCCAGCAATTCCCACTTCCTACAGACATATTTGCCCACACGAAACACCCAATAGAGACAGCCTAGATGTCTATCAACAGGGGTCTAGTAAATAACAGACCATCCATGTCTGAAAAATATCCTACATATTCCCAGATCTATTACTAATGAGACACTAGTGACAGTGTTCAGTTCTACTGGAGGAGGGGTGTGACTAGATGGATCAAAGTCATGGGTAGAGACTATATATGCCTTCTAGCACCTCATGCTTTGAAAAAAATAGATAATATTCACGTGGTTCAAAAAATTACAATAAAAAACAAACAACAAAAACCACTCCAATGGTTTCTCCACCCACGCACTGGAAACAAATTTTATGCCCCTAAATCTGTACTGTCCCAGAGCAAAATGAGTAGGAGAACATCACTCTGCAATATTTAAGGTAATAAAATTGGAAAAACCAGCACTGCTATTTTCACCCAGACTCAGGGAAGACAGGTACTCCCTACGGGATTTCCATTCTGAAAGTCACCAAAAAAAAACACATCAAAGCTGCTATTCAAGGTGTTCTACCAGACAGACAGACCAGCATCAAATAAGCAACATTTGGTAAACTCTGATGAAATATGTACCATGATACACAATAACTCACCTGTGTTGTTTTACCAGACCCAGTCTCACCAACCAGTACAAAGGATTGATGTCTAACCAGAATATCTGTAAATCTATCCTTGTATTCCCAAACAGGAAGCTGAAGCCGTTTCTTTAGAATATCATAGTATCGAGGAGTATGGGGTAAATTGGTGAATGGATTAATGCACTGTGGAAGTGATGTGTGTCCTGCATGTCCCGTGTGTGTTGAATGAGCAGAATGTGTTGAATGTGCCGAGTGGGTTGAGTGAGCTGAGTGGGAAGCTTTTAAAGGTGGTAATCCAGCACTGATAAGCATTGCATTAGTAGAAGCTCGCAATTCCTTCTCCTTTTCTTTCTCCCTCTCCCGTTCTCTATCTCCTCTGTCACGTTCTCGGTCACGATCTTTAGACCTATCTTCACGATCCCGGTCACGATCTCGATCCTTCCTAAAAATAAAAATTTAGAATTCAGATTCTGAATTTTATGCAAAATTTCCATGGTAGCATTATAGTTAGAAAGAGCATAAATATCTAACAACTGAATGAATAAATGGATATAAAATTCAATGGATTACATAACTATCAGAAATAATGAAAAAGAACTTATAATTAAGGAATCCCCATGCTCCATCATAAATATCTTTCCCTTCCTTGATAATACTCAAATTCTTTCCACAACCTTTACCATAGGTGAGGTAATACAAGAACTCAGTATCTTGCAAGTAAACCCCCCGCTACTTAAACAGAAGTCACAGATACTAGAGATTGAGCGCAAGGTGGAAAAAAGGCCTAATCAGGCAAAAGAAGTTGGCATCACAATCTTTACCAGATTCTCCTTCAAGTTATGTGAAGAGGTATTTTTTGCACTGAAAAAATATTCAAGATTTAGTAAGAACACTGCTACTGGACACAAAGACAACTCCACCTCACAATGTTAAAGAGTGGTGGTTTTGCTCAATATTTTTATTCATTTCTAGTTATATCCCTTTCCTTGCTTCAGGAAAATGTTTTGTGCTATAATGCTAAGTGAAAAGAGCACAATGTTAAACATATCAGTATCTCAACTAAGTAATACAAGTATGGATTATAGGATTATAGCTAAATTTATTTTCTTAGTTATACTTTACAGCACTTTCCCAATTTGGTTCGATAAGTGTATACTGTTTTACAAGGAAAACTACTATTAAAACACTTTTATTCCTTTTTCATTGTTCACTCTTGCATTTTAGCCACACAGTAAAACATTAGAAATACTCTGTAAACCTATGTACCTTGGTTAACCATAAAATGAAATGTAGACCAATTAAAGCAAGCTTCATGAATAATATTGTTTAAAATGTTAAAATTATGCAGGTAGCCACCATAATAAACTTAGGTCAATTTAAAACAGCCAATTCTGGCTGGGCGCGGTGGCTCACGCCTGTAATCCTAGCTCTCTGGGAGGTAGAGGCGGGCGGATTGTTTGAGCTCAGGAGTTCGAAACCAGCCTGAGCAAGAGCGAGACCTCGTCTCTACTAAAAATAGAAAGAAATTATCTGGACAACTAAAAATATATATATATAGAAAAAATTAACCGGGCATGGTGGCACATGCCTGTAGTCCCAGCTACTCGGGAGGCTGAGGCAGGAGGATCGCTTGAGCCCAGGAGTTTGAGGTTGCTGTGAACGAGGATGACGCCACGGCACTCTAGCCTGGGCAACACAGTGAGACTCTGTCTCAAAAAAAAATAAAATAAAATAAAATAGCCAATTCTGGTATCTATTATACTTCTAGTTACTAGAGATGGCCCACCATACAATGGTAATTTTAAAATAATCTATGCTAGGAATCTTCACAAGCAGAATGACTATAGGTTGCTCAAATGTCTCTGAGTTCAGGAAAAGGCTGCTGCTGAGATGGGCTGATGGTGGGCATAAAAACCTTAAAATAATCTATATGCATTCTATTAATCCACTTTACTCCAGATCAAGTCCTATAGCAGACAAACTCGCCACAAGGTTAAACCCAGACTTGAAACAGTGTGGCAAACATGGAGCTATGTTCATTGTTCCTTATCTGTAACATACACAAATAGTATAAATTTTCTGTGCTCCAAGTAAGTACAGTCATGTACCGTGTTAACAATTCAGTCAACAACGGACTGCATGTATGATGGTGGTCACATTAGATTATAATACTGTACTATTTTTACTGTACTGTTCCTATGTTTAGATACAAATACTTGCCATTGTGATACAACTGCTTACAGTACTCAGTACAGTAACATGCTATACAGGTTTGTAGCCTAGGAGCAATAGGCTATACCACCCAGGTTTGTGTAGGTACACTCTATGGTATTCACAGGATGATGAATTTGCCTAAGGACACATTTCTGAAAACTTATCCCCATCATTAAGCAATGCATTATTGTATCAGTAACACAGCAGGAACGAGCATTCATTTTCTAGGATGGTTCCCCAATTACAGAAATGGTAAGCTAATCAATTATATCTGATCTTGTCGTTCCTAAAATATATATTTCTATTTCATACGAATTTACTCAAAGAGGAGAAAAGCCTTACATATGTTATGTGTGTGTATATATACATATAAAAAAATATGAAAAGTGATTTTCCCTTCTTCCATTTCAATGTTCCCTTCTTCCATTTCAATGTTCAGCTTCTAGAGAATCGCTGGGCATTGTAGCTAAAATTGAATGAAGCCTCTCATTCCATAATGAGAGGCTTCATTATGGAATCATTCTATAAACAGAAAGGAAATCAAAGGGAAAGAAAAACTAAAGGATAACACGATAAACATAAAATGAAGTTTTACAATTCAAAACTTCACAGTCCTAGCCTTTCTCTGAAATACGTCATCAACCACCTTTCTTTGCTTCTCTCTTTCTTTTTCCAATCTAAGGTGCCCATCAATTAAATAAGCATTTATATTATCCCAAAATGCAAATGAGTAGTAGTTTATAATAGGGTACACAGAAAGGTAACCAGCTCAAAGATCACGGAGCAGCAGATAGTTTGAAAAGAACCCTTAAATAACATTTGGTCTAAATAAAAAGGATTCATATTTCTAGTACTTACTCAACCATGTGGGAGAGGAAGAGGGAGGGGACAGAAAACAGTTTAATGAACTTCTCCTATACTTTTAGCATAGTAATAGGCACTTAAGATACGGATCTAACTTTTTAACGAACAAAGTAAATTGTATATGTATACAGACAGACAGACACACACACACACACACACACACAGATAGTCTTGCTTTGTTAAAGTAATGCCTATACTAACAAAGTGTATTCAGCGACTCACTTTATCAGAAGCTTCATTACCAAACAAAATACAGAAATATAGAATACATTCTGAAGACAAAGTTTAGCTGTTGACCAAAAAATGGGGATAGCTGTGGTATAAGAGTAAAACAAGTACTCGGATCACAGGTGTATAACCACAAGAAAGACGCGAGCCTCAATTTACTAATCTGCAAAGTAAAAAGTATTAATAAAATAGTCTCGGATTAAAATAAGAGAGCAACAGGGAGGATGCAGAAGATAAATTCAACCACCCAGAAGTGCTGCCTGTGGTTCCAACTATCTATCTTCATTGGGGAAGGAGGATAAAAATTAAAGATAAAAGGGGGACTAGGACCCTCTGCTTCCTAAATATGTATATTTCATTGTACGTATGCTTATTTTCTTTTTTAAACAGGCATGTCTATTATAAAGGAGTTTTGTTCTTAAAGATTTACTAATTGAGGCATAAAAGTGCAAAAAACTGATCATCAAAACAGTGTTTTATACTCACTTAGCCATAACAGTAGAAGGAACAGACAATACGAAAGCTGTCGAGCACATGTTCTGTACTGTGTCTCAGCTCAATCCTTGATCAGGACTGAAGCTAACTATATGACCAGTTATTTCTTTCCTCATCTATAAAATGTGGTTACTAATAATTTATGGAGTATAAAAAGGATTAAATCAGTTAACATACGTAGTACGCTTAAGGTACTGCCTGGCACATTGAAATGTCCAATAAATATTGGTTATCATTAAAGATTTTTTTAAAAAGTTACAATACAATGTTAAAATTCTCCAAGGAAGAATAACAGGCACTGAAGTACTGCTAATGAAGATGTAAACTGATGATCAAAATAGGAATATTTTAAATAAGCATTGCTTTTTATCTGGCAATCTTACTTCCAGTAACTTCTCCTAAAGATATGGGTACACAAATATGTATCTATAAGGATGTCCATTATACTTTTATAAAATAATGACAGGGAAACTATGTAAATATCAACTAACAAGATATTGGTTAAGTAAGTTATGACACACCTCTACCATTGGAGAATTATGCAGCCAGTGATTAGGACAAGTGCGTGTGTGTATACACACACACACATACACACACACACTATAGTTAATGATATTTCAGAGTGAGGAAAAAAATGAAAGCACAGAATGACAAATATTGAAAAATCCCACTGATAATTAAATAGTATAGTTCATATTTGTGAGTAAATACGCAGTGATCGTTAAAAAAATGTTCACCAAAAAATATTCTTCAAAGATAGAGACGAAGATTTCAGGGAATTTATTGCCTTTTTCTTTATACCTTAGTGTACAGGTATTTCTTGTATTCCCTGTGGAAAGTTACTTAGCCTCACCTACTACATAGGATTGTAGTGAAAATGTTTATTACATATAAAGCACCTAGAATAGTGTCAGGTGCACAGCAGGTACTCCACATGTTATCTCAGCATTAATATTAATATATTAGCTTCACTTTCCTGCAATTAACAGGAAAGCACTTACCAGGAATACAGGAAACCAACATCAAATGAAAAATGTTCCTAATTTCAAAAAGTCTTTCTATATTTCAACAATTAGTTGTCTTTTGGTAGTAATTTTATAGTGAAAATTCTGAGGGTTGATGGAGAAAGGAATGAGGTCAGAATACATAACAGGAACCTACAACTTCTACACCTCACTTCAAAGTTAAAATATGCCAGTAGTAAATAAAGCCTCATATAGTTTGGGAGCATGAATATATGTGAAATCTCCCACTGAGTTACTCTCCCTTCTCAGTCCTGGAGAAATGGGACAGTCATGTTTGGCAGTGGCATTCAGAAGACTGACAAGCCCAAGCTCTCAGATAAAACCACCTGCTAACTGTCAGGGATTTAATAAAAACCCCTGAACACCAGTAAACACTGTAAGCTAAATAAAACCATTTATTTTAGAAATGACACTCAAATGACACAGAAATCAACACAAAACTTCCCTCTAGAAATTTCTCAGGACTTGGTCATTATTCTAAAGATGAACTCTCCTTTACCTACAGGCAAATGTCAATATACAAGGCAATCATAACAGACTTTCCAAAAAGTCAACACTCTTACTAAGGAATCTGTTTTTAGAAGAGAAAGGAAACAACCACATATACATATCATGGAACCACTAATGCCAAGGAAAGCATTTAAAATGGTGTGCAAATGCACAAATACAAAGGAGTGAATTCATTCCCTCCCATATAAATACTTTGTTCCAATCTGACCTCTTGCGAGACATCAGATGCATCTCAGCCAGATGAGAAGCAATTTATTTTTGCTTCAGAGGAATCAAGAACCAAGTGTTCCCTACTTTACCAACCCATTATAAATATCATTAAAATAGGCTGTAATGACTCTTAACTACATTATTAAGCTGAGCACTGAAGAGTGAAAATAGAGCAGGGTTCTAGATACTGCTGTAAACTGTGTAAACTTGCACAAGCTACCTCATCTCTGGTCTCCGTTTCTAATTCCTTGAAAGGAGCTGATTACACTTTTGAAAATTGCTTCCAGCTCTAAGGATTTGTGACATATAACTCAAACCCACTTAACATTTGCTGGGGGTTATGGAGGATAGGAAGGACAGCCTAAGGAGAGCCTTACAATGTCACTGTATGACTACAATGTCTAATTTTGTAAGCTAAAGAATCTACAAAATTAAAATGTGACTAACTTTTGCTCTCTATTCAATATAAGGCAAAACATCAAAAAGTGCATCCTAGCCTGGCTTATACTCGAAACTGAAACTAAACAGATACCTGGAAATCAATCCCAATGAAGAACTTTAGTATAAAAAAAGTCACAAAAGCTATACAGGCGACTTGACACAGAGACTGTGTCACATTCGCACAATAAAATGAAATTATGCAAAGTAGCTGGATATTCGGACTTTTATGTTTTTTGTCTGAATTATCCAAATAGATCTCCGTACTTCTGAAATAAAAACATACACTGGACAAGAAATGACTTTTACGCATTTGCTTAAGTTAACCGCTAAATTCCTCTGTCTCTTTAAGGAAAGGATAGGAATCAGGAACATCCTGAGTCTCTGTATTTCAACTCTCAACCTCCACCTCGGCGATTTAGTGCCAAAAGTATTAAAAACACTTTTTGAAGAGAGTCCCCGTATTTCAAAAGCTACTTCTGAAGGAAAATGGGAAAAAGATAGAAAATAAGACCTTACGGAAAAAAAAGAATGCCTTCTAATCCCTACCCCAGGAATGCTCAGTAACCACGGCTTTAAACAAGGCAGGAAATAAAGGAGATGGCGGGAGCGTAGGTAGAGGGCGGAAGTTTGCCTAGTGTCTACTTTCAAGTATTTGAATGGACCGAGGCACGCTCTCTCCCGCCAAACTATAAACTCAGCTGCCCCGAACCACCAGCCTTCCAGCCCACCAGGTATACTACTCCACGTTTTCCCTTCTCCCAGCAGGCCCTCTACTCTCCCTTCCCCCGAGAACTACCCTTTTGCTCGCTTCACTCAACTCCCGCCACCCCCACCCCAGCCTACACAAGAATCCGCACGCTTCTCTCACTTTCCACCCTAGGCCTTACCCCCTCCTGAGGACCCAGCCGCGCCCCCCACCCCCACGACCACAGCCCATTCCCCGGTCCCTCAGCCTGAGAAGTACCTGGTGCCCTTGGAAGCGAATATCCCGCCGCGCCCTCCCCCACCCTCTCCCAGGCTCCAGGCCTTACTCGGGAACAGAGGCCACGAGGTCCGCGGTTCACTCCCTGCCGACCCCATCGAAAGTGACTCTCGCTCGGTTTGGCCTTGGAGAGGAGGCGCCCTCGCGGCCACAACAGGCCTCTCCACCCTCCCGACTGGGCCGGACGGCGGCCCCGCCACACGCAAACCCCCGCGCCCTTGCCGGGCCGGACGGACAGGGGCCGCTCTTCCCGACCCGCCGCTGGTGAACCAAACCCAGAGGAAAACAAAGGTTCGGGCGCCGGGACCCGCTCGATCAGGCCAGCCCTGGCCCGCTCCCTGCCGGGACCCCAACAAAGCCCGAGTCGCTGCCTCACGCCGCCGGCCTCGCTTACCCATCGGTCCCCGCACGCTTCTTGCCGGAGGGGTAATCCTCCCCCAGGTCCAACCGGTGGCGCTTGGACATCTTTGCACTCTTCGAGCGGGCGGTTATGAAGGAAGCAAAATAAGAAGCTAGCTACTGTAATGGGCACAGTAGAGGACAGCTACTTAACTCTGGAGAACCCCCACCCCGCCCGCTACAACAGCCCACACCGTGCGGCCCGAACCAGGAGCTAAAATGGCGGCGGCGACGAGGGCTGGGCCTGCGCGCGCTTCCGCAGCGTGCGTGCGTATGCGAGTGCGTGCGTGGTGCGCGCGCACGCTGCCCAGAGGCGGGAACTCCAGTCCCGCCAGCCGCCTCATTGGTCCGACTTCTCTTGGCCCTACCTTTTTCCAGCCACCTCGTCTTCCCGGAGCTTCCCGCCCCTTTGAGCGGCTGCTGGGGGTCCTGAGCCTGATGGCCTTTACGCTCCATGTCAGTTCCACCTTACCCCTCTGATTTAGGAAATTGAGAAAGTCTAGTCCTAGTTAGGAAATCCTATCCATGTGTATTGCCCTGGCTTTAGGAGAATCGGAGACCCAAAGAAATTGAGAAACTAATGAAGATCATACAGCTAACAAGTGGAAGAGCCATGGTTGGAACCCTACTGTTTTATGAGTCCAGATCTAGAGCTTGCAGCCACTGCACCAGACACTTAATTGCAGTGAGAAAACTGAAGTGAGAAAATGTTGGAGTTGCCATGATCTATTTTGCCCTTTTTTTTTTTACCCAGCGAGGACAACATGCACTCAAGCTATAGATGTTTTTACCGGAATACAGAAAATTGGCAGTGAGGGTACAACTTTGTTTTGTTTTTGTTTTTGTTTTTTTTGCCCCCTCATGTGCCTACAGTATGCTTTCAGAGTGTTACCCCTAGCTCTGTCCTTATTCTTTTTTTTTTTTTTTTGCTCGGGCTAGAGTGAGTGCCGTGGTGTCATCCTAGCTCACAGCAACCTCAAACTCCTGGGCTCAAGCAATCCTTCTGCCTCAGCCTCCCGAGTAGCTGGGACTACAGGCATGCGCCACCATGCCCGGCTAATTTTTTCCATATATTTTTAGCTATCCAGCTAATTTCTTTCTATTTTTAGTAGAGACGGGGGTCTCGCTCTTGCTCAGGCTGGTTTCGAACTCCTGAGCTCAAACAATCCGCCTGCCTCGGCCTCCCAGAGTGCTAGGATTACAGGCGTGAGCCACCGCGCCCGGCTGCTCTGTCCTTATTCTTTTAGTAACCCTGCAGGGTAGGTGTTGTGTTAGAGATGTGCTGAAAAAGGTGAAGAAATCACACAGCCATAAGGGCTGTACCCTGCAGCTTGTAAAGCGATAGCAAATTGACGGGGCAGGATGAGCCTCATGACTTTTGTGGCTCTCGCCCCCTAGAACCTATCTGCTCGCTCAATTGCATTCATTCTCAGAAGAAATGTACAAGAAAAAAGTCTGTGGACCATCCTGAGCAGGGCGATCTCTGTCTTTCATGTAATGGTTCTTTTTGGCCACTCTGGAAGACCATACTCTGGTTCATATCAAATTCTCAGAACTGGAATGGCTAAAATTAAATGCAACTTAAAAATCGCAACTGATAAAGAGGGTTTTTATTTTTGTACCAAACCCATATTCCAAGGTCAACACAAAGAAACAGGTATGTCTTTTTCACCTATAAAATATTTAGTACAACTTTCTACCCTAAATATACCATAGTCCCCGTTTTGTCCCTGAGCCTGATGGTCCCTGGTTTCACTTTCTGTGGTTTCAGGTACCCATAGTACTGTACAATAAGATATTTTGATAGACCACATTGACATAACTTTTATTAAAGTATAGATTGTCCTCTGCTTATGATGGGGTTATGTCCTGATAAACCTATTGTAAATTGAAAATATTGTAACTCAAATTCATTTAATAAACCAATAAACCCATTGTAAAGTTGAAAAAAATCCTAAGTCAAACCCTCATAAGTCAGGGACTATCTGTATATTGTTATAATTGTTTTATTTTATTACTAGTTATTGTTAATCTCTTACAGTGCCCAATTTATAAATTAAACTTTATTATAGGTATGTTTGATAGGAAAAAATGTAGTACACTTGACCCTCTATATTTGTGGGTTCCTTATCCATGGATTCAACCTATTACAGATAGAAAATATTCCAGAAAGAATGGATGGCTGCATCTATACGGAACATGTACAGACTTTTTGTGGTTCTTATTTCCTAGGCAATACAGTATAATAACTATTAATCTTTACATAGCATTTACATTGTATTAAGGTATTACAAGTAATCTAGAGATGCTTTAAAGTATACAGGAGAATGTACATAGCTTATCTTCAAATACTATGCCATTCTATATCAGGGACATGACCATCCATGGATTTTGGTATCTGCAGGGGCTCCAGGAACCAATCCCTCACCGATACTGAGGAACGACTGTACTGACTTTTGTCAGATCATGATGTATAATCACTAACTTGTAAACCTGGAAAAGGATTTCCAGCTGATTTTCTCTTTTTGCTTCCTTATTGCAAATGAAGGAACCTGAACCCCTAGGTTTTGCCCAAGTTAACACAGCCAGTTAGTATCAAAGTAGACATCAAAATCCAGATTTCACTCTAGCTATTGCAATCTCAGTCTTCAGGTTTTCAGTTTGAGGACTAATATAAAGTGTTCTAAAATTTTGGAGACATAATCAGGAAATAAAGTTAGACTTCTACCTGCAAAAGTGCCCCACTCTTAGAGATATCAGCCTCATAAATGTGCAAGGAGACTTGGTAAAGGAGGAACTGAAATCAAGGTGATGAGACCTTTTCCCTGGGCCAAGGATATATCTAAAGAAAACTATAGCCTAAATTAACTGTGTTGTAACCTAAATGACTGAAGAAAGGCCATATTTACCAAAGGATATGCCTTTCCAGAATCCAGAATAAAGGGAACAAAGGGCCAGAATCTGCCAGGATGTGCACACTTCCTAGGAGAAGGACCAGAGTTCTAGATCTAATGCTCCACCCCAGATTTTCAGACATAATTATCCCTAGAATACAGAAGAGCCACCCACCAGCCCCTTGCCCCCAACTTGCTGGGAATGTTTCCAGAGAATTTTTTTTTTTTTTTTTTTTTTTTTTTTTTTTTGAGACAGAGTCTCACTCTGTTGCCCGGGCTAGAGTGCCAGGGGGTCAGCCTAGCTCACAGCAACCCCAAAGTCCTGGGATCAAGCAATCCTCCTGCCTCAGCCTCCTGAGTAGCTGGGACTACAGGCATGCACCACCATGCCTGACTATTTTTTTTTCTGTTTTTAGTAGAGACAGGGTCTCACTCTTGCTAAGGCTGGTCTCGAACTCCTGATCTCAAGAGATCCTCCTGCCTCAGCCTCCTGGAGTGCTAGGATTACAAGCCTAAGCCACCACGCCCAGCCTCCAGAGAATATTCTATTTCCTTTACTTTTGCTCTTTGTCTACTAGACAACCCTCAGATCTATTATTTAATATTTGGTCTATGGCATGGACTTACTCACCTGAAAGAAATGTCTTATGTAGCTAACCAGCTCCAGGTCTCAGCCACAGGTGTCTCCCAACCTAAATTAATAAATAATAATGATAATAGCAAACACATATAAAGCACATCCTATGAACCAGACACTCTTCCTTACATATTTTAACCTATTTGAGACTTATGGCAACACTAAGTTAAGTGCTATGAGTTAGACTCATTTACAGATGAGGAAACTGATGCACAAAGAGGCAAAGTATTGTGCCATGAAGACAGTTCTGGGATTCGGCTCAGAAAGCACATGTGCTTAACTGCTGTGCTGTGCTGCTGCTGGAAAATAGGTAATCTCATTCCACATTAATCTCTTAGGGTGTGGTTATTGAGGATAAACTCTCCCACTCTAACAAACTCAATGTGACATGATAAGCAAGTTTCTACATTGTCCAGATGGAGAACTAGTTTATAGAGCTCTCAATGGACAAGTTAGGATTTGGAGGATTTGAACCTGATCTGACTCCAGAGCCATGCTATTAACCACTACAACTGTGTCACTGTTACCCATCCCTTAATTACATCATTTAATTACTCACTGAAAAATATTTATTAAGTCCCCATGTCAGGCATTGAGTGAAGTGCTAGGGAAAGAGGAAAGAAGAAAATACCCATAGTTACCTTCATGAAACATGTCAGAGGAAGAAAGACAGACATTAAATAGCTAAACACATAAATAACTGTTGTTGCAGCTGTGATAAGTGTTTGAAAAGGCCATCTACAGAGGACAGGAGTATGAGAGCATACAACAAGTGGCCTTGGTCTAGATTGAGGGTTAGGAAAGCCCTCTCTGAGAAAGAGACATTTAGACAAAGACCTAAAAAATGAATACAGATTGGCCAGGCAAAGAGGGAAGAAAGCATCCCAAGCAGAGAAAACAGCCTGTGCAAAGGCCCTGGAACTTTAAAAAGTAAGGTGCAATCCATAGACAGAAAATACCATGGGATGAAATGGTGAAGCAATGAGATGAGGAAGGCATGATCCTGCAAATGCAAAAAGGAACCATATTATGCAGATTCTGAGGAGTACTGCTGAGGATGTAAGGCTTATCCTTCCTAGAATAATAGGAAGACAGCAACAAGATTTAAGTGGGAAAATGATCTGATCAACCTACCAATCGCCCCCTCTGAATTCTCTTTAGCTACAAAATGCTTACACATTGAAAGGATTTTCAGTACTGTTTTTAATCACCTGATCCTCTCTACTATTTAAGAGATAGAAATAGTTATAAACTGTAGTGGATGCTGTGACTTGCCATCAAAATCCCAGTTCCAGAATGAGACATCCCTCAGCTGCTGGGAGTCCTGCCTGCACTCAACCCTCAGCTGTCAGCTCTCTTCAGGAACTTCCTTGGCTAAAGAAACCTGATATGCCCAAGGGCAGCCTGAGTGCATGTTAGAGATACAAAGGCGTGGCCCCTCTACCCAACTCAGAACAACCGTGAGCCTCAGAGCATCCAAACTCACCGTGAGATCAGCTAAGGGCTTTGTTACGTCAACATCTGATGTACCACACTACAGTTCAGCCACTAACCCTCCAGAGTTACATCAGACCCCACAAGTTAAGGACAAAGTCCCCAACAGCATTTAAAATGCCCTCACTCCAGAAACTGTCCACAAGTTCAGGAGTCTACAAGCCACCTGCACGTCTGCCCAACTGGCTACAAATTCAGGGTTTCCCATAACCCCATTATATTTGATAATTTACTAGAATAATTTATAGAACTCAGG